TACTTCGGCACCTGGCGCGGGTGGCCACACACAGCCCAGAAACCAGCATGCACGTCAAGAACCTGGCCATCGTATGGGCCCCCAACCTGCTCCGGTAAGTGCCGCCCAGCCCCCTCTGGCTCCCCTCCGGCCCCCCTGCCCATCCCCCCACACCGGCTACCATCCCCCCAACCTGCTCCGGTAAGTGCCGCCCAGCCCCCTCTGGCTCCCCTCGGCCCCCCTGCCATCCCCCCACACCGGCTACCATCCCCCCAACCTGCTCTGGTAAGTACCCCTCATCCCCCTCTGGCTTCCCTCCGACCCCCTGCCATCCCCCCACACCGGCTACCATCCCCCCAACCTGCTCCGGTAAGTGCTTCCGACCCCCCTCTGGCTCCCCTCCGGCCCCCCTGCCGGCCCCCCACACCGTTTACCATCCCCCCAACCTGCTCTGGTAAGTGCCTCTGACCCTCCTCCGCCCTCCCTGCGAGTCCCCCGCACTGGCTACCACCCCCCAACCTGCTCCGGGAAGTGCCTCCGACTAGTCTCTGGCTACCCTCTTGCTCCCCTCTGCCCCCCTGCCAGTCCCCCACCTACAATCCCCCCAACCTGCTCCACTTAGTTCCTCCCACTGGCCCCCACATGCTGGCTCCAATCCCTCCAGCCTGCTCTGGTGAGTGCACCCCTGCCAGGCCCCCCGCACCGGTTCCAATCCCCCAGGCTGCTCCGCTGAGCGCCCCTCTGCCCCCCAGGTCGCTGGAGCTGGAGGCTGTGGGGCTGAGCGGGGCGGAGGCCTTCCACGAGGTGCGGGTCCAGTCCGTGGTGGTCGAGTTCCTGCTCAACAACGTCCAGGTGCTGTTCAGCGACAAGTTCACCTCCATCGGCAAGGACAGCGCAGGTGGGTGTGCAAGGGGTCATGGGGGGTACAGGGGGACGTGTGGGGCAGTGCGGGGGGCGGCATGGAGAGGCAGTGTGGGGTGGACAACATGGAGAGGACAGCCTGGTGGGGCAGCATGGGGAAGGCGACTGCACAGTACAGGCTGGGGGGGGGCAGCGCTGGGAGACAGTGTGGGGTGGCGCTGGGGGTAGCACAGCACAGCCTAGGGGGGAGGTTCAGCCCAAAGGGGCAGCATGGGCATTGGGGAGGTGGAGGGCATGCAGGGGGGAGCAAGGTGCTCAGTGGTGGGGGGCATACAGAGACTGGCTGGCTGCTGAGCTGGGGGGTGGGGGCAGGCTCTGCCCTAGAGGAGGCTGGGATCTTTGTCTGCTGCCTTATTTGTGATGCTGTGCTGCTGGGCACCCCCCCACTCGGACCTGGCCCCCAGCAGCGGGGTTGGGGTGGGGCCGGGGGCTGCTGCTCCGAGGGTGGGGACCTGCCCCCAGTGGCATTGGGCAGGGTGCGTGTGGGGGGATGGCCAGCAGCAGGATTTGGGGGTGGTCTCCTTGCCTTACCCCATCTCCCCAGATCCAGCTTCATGCCCTCTTGCTGTCTTGTGGCCTTGGGGGTCTGGCAGGGAGGGGCTCGGGGGGATGGGGGCAGCAAGGGATGAAGGGAGACACATGAGGGATTCTGAGGGGTAGGGGTGGGGGGAGCTGGGGAAGGTTGGCAACAGTAGGGTTTTGAGGGGTGGAGGGGCATTGGGGAGGCTGGGGACAGTGGGGTTTGGGGGTGATGGGTTAGTTTGGGGGGTGGGGGCACTGGGGGAGGTTGGGTGCAGTGGGGTTTATTGGAATGGGGGCAGTTTGGGGGCAGTGGGTTTGGGGGGACAGTTTGGGGGCAGTAGGGTTTGAGGTCCCCGCAACAAGTCCACCTGGGGACCCTCACCCCCCCAAAGGGCCCTGCACCCCCACTCTGCAGTCACCGGGACTCAGCCAGTGTGTGACACAGGAGGTTTATTCGTCATGGGAAACGGCGTAGGACAGATCTTGTTAGCACAGAAATCAGGAACTTTCAACAGAGTCCATCTGGAGGGGTGGGGGAGGTCCAGAGCCCTCGGCTCGGTCCCCCTCTTCCCCCCAGTCCCAAACCAGGAGACTGACTCTTTCAGCTGCCCGTTGCCTCTCCTCTTTCCTTTGTCTCTTTCCTGGGCCAGCCGGTCCCCTGGTCTCTGGTCTGCACCAGCACCTCGGGCTGGTTCTTGCAGAGGAGGGGGCCTGGCCATGAGTGTGGGCCGTTCTCTGCAGCCCACCAGCAGTCACACCTGCCCTCTAGGGGTCTCTGCAAGGATCACCCCCCTTATCCCATCACCTAGATACTTGAGTAACACAGGGGAAACTGAGACACACCACAGTTTTCAGAGAAAACATTAAGAACATTCCCACTTCGTCACACTGGGGAAGGCTGGAGGCAGTGGGGTTTGGAGGGGTGGGGGGCAATGGGGCACTGGGAGAAGTTTTGGGGCAGTGTGGCATGGGGAGCTAGTGGGGCAGCCAGTGCCGGGCCCCCCACCCCGTGCTTTGCTCCCTGTGTAGCAAGCTGGTCTGTTCTCAGCAGCTACCCCCCAGTCTCTGGCCTGGGGCTGGACCCCCCTCCCCTGCTGCATGTCAGGATCCCAGGCCCAGGGAGAGAGGGCCCTGCTCTGGGCATGGGGGTGCCCCTGGGCTCTGGTGTGCTGCCCCCCCTGGCCACCCTCTAACCCTGTTCTCTCTCCAGCCCCCCAGCCGGCGCCCCGGAAGCTGGCCTGGCCCCCCAAGACTGGCCGGCTGCTCACCCTGCCCGAAGCCCTGAGCAAGGCCCAGAGGGAGCCGGAGACGCAGCAAGACGGGGTGGGGGGTGCCCCGGAGGCACAGGGGGACTGAGGGGGCGGGGGGGTCATTCACCCCCCCCCCCCCGATGAGATTCATGGACCTATGCACACCCTCTATCACGCCCCCTCCCTGCTGCCCACGGGCCCCTTTACCACGGTATCCCGCCCCCTCCCTGCCGTCCACGGGCCCCTCTATCCCGGTATCCCGCCCCCTTCCTGCCACCCGTGGGCCCCTCTACCCCGGTATCCCGACCCCTCCCTGCCACCCGCGGGCCCCTCTACATGGGCTGTGGGGTACCATGGCTCCGTGACCCCCACCCCCGCTCTGGTGCAGTCAGCTGCACCCCCAGATAAGCATTGATCCCAGACACTGCGGTGGGGAGGTGCCCATGGCAGGGGGTTCTGGCAGCCCAGGTTGCTGGCTGTGGAGCAGGAGCAGGGTGGCACGGCTCTCCCTGCGCGGGGCCCTGTGGGCTCTCAGGGCTGGGACAGGGTTAGTGCCCACCAGGGTAGGGAGGCTCAGGCCCTGGGTTTAACCAGCTCCTGTTGAGAACAAGAGAACATTAAATGTCCAGCTGGCAACTCCCCGCATTGGTGATTCATGGTGCCTGGCGCCCAGCGGCTCGCCCCGGGGAGACAACTGGCTGGGGGCGGGGATGGGGGGCTGACATTGACTGGGCCTGGTGGTGGGGGGACACTGAGCCCAGCAGGGGTGGGGTGGGGGGTTGCTGAAGTGGGGGGCTGCCAAGGCAGACTGGGGAGGCAGGTGCTAGGGGG